AGATAAGTCAAGGCCATACAGGATTTGCATAAAAAAAGAAATATGGGAGCCTAATAACAGAGAAAAATCCATGTCAGGCATTCTTTTAACATCCAACTCTTTTGTTATGTAACTTAAGGGCTAACATGGTATGATCAAATCATTTTCGCAAGGTGGAGATAGAACCTGGAAGGAAAGATGGATTTCATAAAACTAAGCATGTCTAGTTGTCAACCGGTCCTTGCAGTAAAACTTGCAAGAGTGTAAGAAAAAGTTTAGAATCACTAATGAAAAATGAACTGAAGCATGCAATTCTCATGGAGAAGAGTGAGATAGATTTGCTCTATGTACAAATAACTTTTCGTTTTACTGTTTCGCCAACAAATACAATAGATTATAATAAACATTCCCTCAAAACATTATCTTCACCCGAAAAAAGGTCAGTAGGGTGAATTCATCTACTCAGTTCTCCGGTGCATCAGCAAAGAAGAAACTAAGATTTTTCCTTATCTGTACCGTGAAACTTCCTCCCTGATTCAACAGCCTCCCTGCAAATTTTGCAATATATCAAAGAAGGCAATATATACACCTTAGAGCCAATGCAGAAACAAAATTAGGATGCCCTAGTATCCTATACATTTGACACACTGAGAAAATAACAGCCTTGATCCAGATAATTTAGATGTCATTTGCATATAGCATTCATCTTCTTAATTGTGGGAACTATCAGTACAATCATAAATCATGAAATCATAGAGTCAAGATGATGTAACTCTCATCTATAGCACTTGTGTTCTTGGCAAGATACTCATTTTTTATCCCGTAGGTTCTCCACATCTTGCCTATATCCCATTAAAATTGCCAATTAGCAATAGGCAAATCAAGTTTACTGACAGAGAAAAAAGATGACCTAAGCAGAGAAAGTAAAGTGAGATCACAAACCTAAAAGCATTTACAAGCTCTTTATTTTCAGGGTCAAGCTTCACACCCTCATAAAAGGCATTGGCTGCTTCATCATATTTCTGCAATAAAAAGAGCAGCTAAAAATGGTCAGGTAACAAAAATAACAGAACCATTATGAAACTTTAACGACTAGATAAAAGATTGTCAACATGCCTGCAACAAACGCAAAGCAGCACCTTCCCGATAGCAAGCTTTTGGCCAGTCTGGTCTTAATGCTCTACAAGCCTTTGCATCAGTTAAAGCATGCTCCGCTTGTCCAAGACGGATCCAACTAAGGCTTCTATTCGAATGCAATGTAGCATCAGTTGGATCTAAATCAATTGCCTGTAGATAGATCAGCAGATGAGATTAAATCATAAGATCAAGTGTGTTCTTTAATCACTTCCCTACTTCTAAGACACATAGATACTCAAACCACCAAATTCAAGAAAACACATTTGCCTTCCTGTGATGTGAGGTTTAGCAATCAAGTGCTGGGACATATGGGCTTTGGAAATGGTGATTCCTTTTGCAGGTCATTCCATCACTTGATAGGAAAATAAACAGAAAAAAGAGCTAAAAAGCAGGGTGGTGCTTCAAATTTCAGAATATTTCTAGTCTAGGCACAAAGGATTCCCGATCTTGTACTAGAATAAGTAGAATACTGTTAATGCAATTGCACAGAGGAGATGTGAAGCTTACTTGTGTATATGCATCTACGGCCATCTGAAAATCTTTTCTTTTGAAAGCCTCGTCTCCTCTTGATTTTGCTTCTACAGCTCTTTTCTTTGCTTCCGCTGTCACCTAGATAAATTGTTTAATACAGGGTCAGGAGAATATATATGTATATATATATGTATATGTATCAAAGAACAGGTTCCAACCATGAAAAGTACAAGCAAGAGTTGCCACAAAGAACAACCATGGGAATCACATCATTTAAAGCCCATTGCTTCAAAGGACATAAGTAACCTAACAAACGAAGTCTAGAATGACAAAATCAACAAGGAAAAATCACTATTTAGAGTAAAAGGAACACCTCAGGTAGATCTGTCGTTGGCAATGTTGTGTCCCTTGCTGCCTTAGCTTCCTTCAAATTTTTCATTTCCTCCTGCAAAATTCACCTCAGAAATAAATATTGATAACCAGTGTATGTTGGCATATGATGCCCAAGTAAAATTAGGAAGCTGAGCAAAAGAGAACAAGCTCACAATCTGCTTAAATTTGATTCCTTGTAGAATTGGAAGTAACTCTAAGCAACAGTGGTCAGCTTTTTTCTTTAGTAAAGTCCCTCTTAAGATATGTAATCTATTTCTTAGTAAATGTAGAGGTTAACTAAAAAGCATTCTTAACTTGAACAAACAAAGATGCAATCTTTTGAAATTTGCATGCTGTCCATGTAAGACTTGAGAAAGGGAAGAGAAAAGAAAGAGTACGAAAACTTCATCACAATTTAAAACAAAATACCGGGGTATGGACATCATCAAAATTCAAGCTGATATGATCTCCATGAATGTCCAGCATTACAAAAGCAATAACAAATGAAGAAAGGAGTAAAAATAAAGCACTACATTTGGCAATTAGTACCATTTGTTTGTTAGCTTCAGACTGCATATATTCAAGAATCCCATCTACAGTCCACTCTGGAATGGCATCAATTTTAGATGTCAAAGGAAAAAGGATCTCAACAGCTCCTTGTTGGCCTCTGCCTGCTGCAACCTGTATGGGCTTCTGGCCATCCTGTGATAAGATGATGAAAGTAAAAAAAATGATTGATGAAGTAAGCTAATAAATCTATAAAACCACAATTTTTGTTTGTTGGGAGTTTTACTTTCCTGAAAATTGAGAGAGAAAAACTAAAAATTCTTGATTCAAAAAATGTAAGCTTGACTAATCTTTTTTTATCTAACTTCTGGACAAAGGGGCCAGTTCAAAATAGCAAATATCCATCACCAAATACACTTTTTTAAAGATTAGATCACAGCTCAAGAGCAATGTAAGCTCATTCTGAAGGAAACCGTGGCTTCAATGAGAGCGAAATCCCATCATTTAGCATAAAATGATTTAATAGAAACAACTGGCAACCCCATCCTGTGGATGCCAGGCTTCACAACTTCCCAGTCCCAGATGCAGATTTAAATTGGTACAAACACATTGAAGAAGACAATAGAAAACAGTGGTTTTAGTGACAGTTTGGAACTTCACCACCTGACAGGTAACTGCAAGAAACTTCCCACGACCCTACTAGTAAATGCATGCAGATCACTAAAGGATACCTTTAAAGCAAAATGATAATTATTTTCTGAAAAATGAATGCATCAATGACCTCACCTCATCAATGACATTAGGATCCGCTCCAGCTTTCAATAAGCTGTTTACTAATTCTGGGCTTCCAATATCAGCTGCAATATGCAATGGAGTTGCTCCACCAGCTATAACATTCACTTTGGCTCCTGCCTGCATATGAGAAAAGGAAAAACTCAGCAACAACAATGAAATGTTAACATGAGATGGCATAAAGTCAAACACAAAAGTTAATCATAATAAATCTCCAGCATCAAAGACAAATGATATTATCCATTAGCAATTCATCTACCTAGGGGGAAAAAAAAGAACAAAGATCAGAAATGGAAAAGAAAAAAAGGAAATTTTGGAATTGTTTACAAAGTTAAAGAAGCTCCTATTAAAAGGTTACTCATCAAGCAAAGCAACTAAAAATATAACAAAATATTTGGTAACTTCTCTTCTTAAATTTTCATCCTGCAAGCATTTTATTATAAGCGAAAATAGTGTTCAACATAGTAGAGAAATAAAGAAGATATAAAACCTCAATCAACAAATCCAAGCATGCTAGCGAACCTGCTGCTACAGCTGACAACAATGGAGTGATATTATCCTCAGTTTCAGCATTAGGCTGCAAAAGTAATCGTCATAAGCAGTAAAAGACAAATCACATCAAAGAAACTATTCAAAACAAAAGTCCCTACTGAGTGTCTTTCTCCAAAGCACCCTAAAGAACACACAAATCTCTAGTCCCTAAAATAATAGAATTTTCATATTAAAGTATTATAACAAGAAAAGAAAACATACATTGGCATGATGCTCTAACAAAACTTTTACAGCATCATGTTGACCATGACCAGCAGCCCAAACTAATGTGGTGCCCGAATCACTTTGTGAATCAACCTCAACACCTTTGGCCAGTAGATACTTCAGCAACTCAATATTTCCTGCAGCAAGGAGTAGTAAATTGGAAGTAAGAATTTACAAGGATTGGTTAAGAAAAGGAAATTAATAGGGGAGGTCAAATTGGCCATGGACAATAGCAACTAAAACAATAGTTCTCTAGTAAATGATGTTACAATGTGCCATGGACCATAGTAACATATATTGAACTAAGATTAGGGTATTACCACATCAGAATTGAAGAAATAATAGAAACCAACCCCATCCTCAGAAACGGAAAAAACAAGCTAAAGAGAACACACCTATTCCAGCTGAATGATGCAAAGCTGTGGCACCTAAGTCACTAGGTATAGAAGGATTGGCACCATGCTCTAGAAGGTACTTTGCAGTGAGAGTATGACCTTGCCGAGCAGCGTGAAGAAGAGGAGTCTCACCTGCATTTTTAAGTAATTCAAGAAGATAAGTTAAAACTACTAAGATAAGCAAAGCATCTTTAGCACACCAACAGTACTAAGATAATTTTGGCTACGTAAGACTTAAAAATCAAAAGCATACCATCCTCATCTTTTGTGTCAACATCAAGCTTCAATTCTTCTAACAAGTATTTACACACCTCAGTCTTTCCCTCTCTTGCAGCAAAATGAATTGCACCTCGTTGGTTCGCATCCTTAATATTTGCCACTGTTTTTGCCAGATCCTTCCCATCATCAAGTTGAGAAGCAACCTCTACTCAAAAAAATATCAAAAGGTCCCAAAAAAAAAGCATTTCTGATTAACATTTAAACATTGAAATAATAAAATAGAGGCAAAAAATGAGCTGCCTTACTCTTGAGAAGATCAAGATTCCCGGTACAAGCTGCATTCAAAAAGTTTTGAACTTTCTGCCTTACTGCAATCATAAATATCAACAAGTTTCAAAATTTAACTCTTAAAAGCTGTTTGGCATTCAGGGTACAACAAACGAAAGAAAATTTATCTTCAGCTAAACTACACATAACCCAAATATTCATAAACTTCCATCTACAACACACACCAACAGAAATAGAAAATCCCCCATTAAAGCATTCAACTTTTTGGCTCCAAAAGAATCAAATTTCTAACTTAAATGAATCTAAATATTAAAGATGAAAAACCCAATAAACAACAATGAAAAATAATATGCATAAATATGAATAGCTGAAGAAAGTGCGAACCTGCAAGTGCAGCTGAAGCATCAGGAGCCATGGTTACCGATACCTTGGTAAAACCCTAAACAGAACTCTTTATTTTTTTTGTTCTTTGGTGGGTTTAGTCTTTAAAAGGAGACAAAGTGACCGACTTGACTCGAAAGACTTGGCTTTGCTCTTTGTTACTATTATGTTTTGTACTGAAAGCAAGTTTCTGGGGTTTTGTAACAAAGGGGAAAAGTTGGTTAAAAAAATTCAAATTTCGCCCTTTTTTTGCTTTTTTCTCTTTTTTTTTTTCACAAATTTCTTTTTTTATTTAATAAAAAATTAAAGTATACATTGACAATACACTAAATATTTGTTATTTTATACTATATATTATTATGATTCACATGTGATATAGTAGTACATCTTTTTCTATGTTGCAAAATTTTCTCTTTTTTATAATTAATTAATATGTCTTCGGAAATATTTTATAATTAATAAACATTAATATTGCTTCTTAAAAGTTTAGGTGATAATTCAATCTTTCGGAAAATGTTTCCACATACAATTTTATTTTATTTTTTTAACTTGGATAAACCAAAAATTTTTATAAGAAAAAACCCAAAATTTATATAGTCCTGTCACTTTGGCCAGGTGCATGAGATTCGAGCTCTGTGGTTTAATTTAGATCAAACAATGTTACCTTCAGGAACTGCTGAAAGGCATGCCCTCATTCCAATTCATTGGAGATGCAAGAGATTGGAAAGCATATCAGACTGGAATGTGGCAAAAGGCTCAAAAACAATCAATCTGAATGGGAATTTGGAGCAACAAGAAAAGAAAGATCTAATAAGCTGCAATCCCTTCAACTAATTTATTGTGCTGTAGCACTTGATCTAAATCATGTAAATGGTAGCAATTAAACAGTACATTTCCCTCAGTCCATATTTCCAGGGCCAAAATGCCTGGTGGTGTTGTTTACATCAGATACTAAGACACAAAATTTGGTTACAAATCTTGGCTCTCTCAAAAGAAACTTCAAAGAAAATCAAATAAGATTGGAAGAATCCAAGGCAGAAACCCTCTCTAACCAAACTTTTCCTGGAGGCCAAATGTCAATATCTCTCAGATGACTGACCTTTTGTTAAAAAGAAAAGGAAAAAAAAAAAAAGAAATACCCCGGACTGCTGCACCATTTTCCTTTTTTTGGCACATTTTTCTGTTTATTTTTTGCTTTTTTCAATCAAAGACAGAACCTAAACAATGAAGGCCATATCTCTCTCTCTTTCTCTCTCTCTGACTTACTCACTTCTTTTCTTTTCTGACACTAGATTTGTTTTATTTTCCTGCCTCTATAGAAACCATCCCACACTTCAAGATGACTGCATCACAGAACATGCCACAGCTTGCGCCCAATGCCTTAGCTTAGTCTTCACTTGCTGAGGATTATCCCCTGGAAAAAAGGAAAAAGCAGCCTAATCAATAGTGCAATATACCAACCACCATGATTTTGTTGTTAAATAAGATGTTGAGCTTTTTATTGTGCTTAATGGTTCTATTTCATAGCCTGTTGATTTTACAAAAAGAACTCATATACTTTTTCTTTTTTCTTTAATTTAGTTCATGTGTTTTTGGCATTGAAACTTTACCTGGGCAGCAAATTTTCCAGTCTGACTCACTTGTAGGACTTCCAAAAGAGGATGACCTGCCACCAAGTGATGAAGTTGAGGATGAACCTCCGCTTTGAGGTGTTGAAACTGGACTGGGAGAAAGCTGCCGGTTTACAGCAAAATAAAGGTCTAAAGCAGGCAATGTATTGCATAGTTTTTGACCTTCTTCCTCTTTGAATCCGAATCCAAGCTCTATGCACCCTTTTAGTTCATGCAAGTCTTCATCAGTCAAGCCATTTGTTACAATAATCCCATTCTTTCCTCTCTCCTGACGAAGAATCTGGCGTCGCCTTTTCTCCCAAGCAATGTCCCTGGAGGTCTCACACATTGATAACTGCTTGGACAAACATCTCTTGTTTTTCATCAATTGTGATGGCACCAATGGCATTCGCTGCAAGTCTTCTGTTTCTGAGTCACATAATGATGTTGATGATGAAGATGATGAAGATGTAATGGACTTTGTTTTAGGCTCTCCTTCCTTCACCATTTTCTTTACACACATTTTTTGCTTCAACAGGAAGATGAATGGAACAACAAGCTTCTTGTTTCTTGTTCCCAAAATAAATGTAACATACAAAGAACAGAGAAGCCTATTCCCTCTGCCGGCCGCGGCAGCAACAGAAGCTGACGCGGCCAAGCAATGGTGAAAAGTGTGGGATGGGGGTGGGACTATGTAGGAATGAGCTATATATTACAAATTCGGGGTGTTTGTTTTTCTTAACTTTTGGATTGTTTTGTTTGATGAAACAACACCAGCCCAACCAGGTTAAGCCGGAGACGATTTGGAGGGCTTTAATGGAGAAAGAAGGGTTGACATCCGTTAGGGGATTAGGCTTGTTGTTCCACCATCCATTTGTAACTGTCAGTTGCAACCCTCCACAATGTTATATTTGGAGAGTGGCAACACCAATTTTGGAAGGAGAGCTCTGCTATGTCTGTTAGGTAGAAAATGGCTCAGCTACATTCTTGTAAGATTTGCGTTTTGCCAAACAAATTGTGCTATACAGTAGATACCGGCTTCAACGGATGGTTAGAGATCATTATAAATAGTTATACAAGAGTTTGATGTCCTTTAAAGATTTATATGCTGATTATGTGCAAAGCAATAAATTGGGGATGTCTTCAAAATGAATTCAATTTATTATATCTAATTCTATAAAATTACTATTAATTATCAACTTAGTCAACACATAACATTTCCATTAAAAATACCAAATTAGAAAGTACCAAATGAATAAGATATTAACAACTTCATCTAGCAAGTAAAACAAAAAATTAAAAATTATCTAACAAAATTGCACAATAAATGCAAATATAAAATTATTAAAAATAATTTATAAATGTTTCAAACAAAAATTTTAAAAATGGGTTTTTGAGTAATTGTACATGTGCTATGCAATACACGTACGATACTTTATAAAAATAAAAAATTTATTTTGTAGCAAGTCGAATTTTGAGGAGTACAATCCTAAATTTAGCTTCTTGTTTAGCATCAAAAAGGAATTCAAAGCATTTAGAACCGATCAAAAACCTACTATCACGTTTCTCACTCTCCTTCATCAATTTCCAACTACATTTTCTCAACAATCATCCGGTTTGGACAAATAACCAAAAATGGAAAGAAAAACAAAAAGGAAAAAGGGAATGAAACCATAATACAAAAGATAATAAGACCTTCTTCTCTTGCCTGGTTTGCTTCCTTTAATCCAGGTAAGACCCTGCCAATGTTTGAGCATTCATGGGAGAATAGAGATGGCTTAGGCTAACCTCATCGGCTGCAAAAAAGAAAAAGAAAGTAGCCAGTTTTGTAGTTTAGGGCGTACAGGAGAACTTCATTTCTTTTTCTTTCTATTGCTTTGTTTTCCTGTACGCCATTGGATGCTCTTTGTGTTTCTTGGCCTTTCTTCTAGCCATGGCAACCAGAAATTATTTTGTGCTGTCTATTGTTTGGTTTTCTCTGATTTTTAGTGTCATTCATGTATCGAGCCAGCCTTTGGCTGTGGACTGTGGCTCCAAAGGTGGCAAAGATGAAGATGGCAGGACATGGGAACCAGATACCAAGTACCTCCTTCCATCCAATAATTCTGTTCAACTCCAAGCTGGATATCAAGACCCTTCACTTCTTTCTACAGTTCCATATATGAATGCTAGAATTTTCACATCCCCAGCAACCTATCAGTTCCCGATTAAAATGAAGGAGCGCTATCTGGTCAGATTTCATTTTTATCCTTCAGCTTACCCCAACTTCAATATCAGCAATTCCTATTTCTCAGTGGTTGCTGGAGGCGTCACCATGATGAACAATTTTAGTGCCGCAATTACCTGTCAAGCCCTTACACAGGCTTATCTTGTTAAAGAATATTCTTTGGCACCTATGGATACTAAGGTCTTAAATATTACCTTTACACCTTCTA